ATTTCTGGTCTCTAATCCTTGAATTAGAAGGGCAGTGATATAGAAATATCCTATTGTCTTGGACATTTTCTATATCTCATAGAAGCTCTAAGGATACTTTTCTTTGGCCTGTGTGAGATGACCACTAACATCTCATCAGTCTCCCCTCATTTGAGACTTTCCCATACATTTTGTGTGCCTTGAAGTTTTTCTCTCCAGATCAGATCTGGTTAATTCAAAGAGACACAGCAATGCCAGTTCTCCTCCTGCTGATTACTAGTTAGCACACTGATCATTGTATATTAGAGATTGTGATTAAGCAGTTTAGATTTCTTAGAACCCACAGATAACAGATGTCCTTCTCTCTTCTCCCTTCCCCCTGCACCATGTAGATGTTCACCACTTTTGCCCAGTCCCCATCCAGTGATTTTAGCCATCCCACTATTTGACTTCATGGGGCTTCAAGGGGAATTCTGAGCTCTGCCCTAGGTAGTAACTCATCACGAAGTCCAGCTTACTTTCTGAAATTACTTCTTTGTTTGAAAGGGGTTGAGTTGATGCTTCTCTGTTGTGCTAGACTATAGAGCACCCTTCTATGCTCTAAGCACAACAAATGTCTGTAGAGGCATTAAGATTTTAGTCAGTTTTGATCTAATTGCACTTGGGGACTAAAGCTTCAGTTTTTTGCTGCCATTCTTTCAGAGGAGGGCTTATCAGAGTGGGGAGGAGTGTTTAGTAGGTACGTAGATTTTGGTGGCTTACATCCTCCCTTCAGAAAATGCATTTAGCACAGGCCCTTGCATCATGTAAAATTGAAGTAACTAAACAAAGAAGTAGCTACCCAAAGGACATGCAGTATACAGTAAATGATTGCTTATGAGATATTGAATTTTTCCATCTAATCCTCTTAAAACTTTGTGTGATTTGGCAGAGTTTGTCATATGTGCTCCTGAAGCCCACATGACTGCATGTTCCAGTGGTCAGCAGAGCAAATACCTAAAAAGTTAGTCCATAGTATAAAATGTTAATATTAGTGCACTGTATTCCAAACCAACATGTATTGGCAAACCATATGTTTGCCAGTTGCTTTGGGGTTTTAATAGGAGATTTTTAACAACCTATTCTCAACTTTGTCTCAATTCCTATGTTATAAACAATTTAGTGATGTATTTTTGTATGAAAGCACTAATTGAGTTGTCAGTTTTATATTTGAATTTAAATACTACTATGAGTGCTTAATGACAGAGGACTTTTAGTAATCAGTGTTACTGATTTATGATACTGCACACTGAGTTTCTTGTGGTTTTTGTTTCAGACTAAATAAAATACACACGAGAGCTATCACACAAGAAAACTAAATGTCCTTAAAGCAGCGTTTAATTCTTTCCTGTTTTGTGAAATGAGAAATGGTAAATATGATAGATACATTCAATCATGGTGGCACTAGTTGCTTGAGAAATTTTGCCAAAGAAATTAATTTTAGTTTTACCTGATCGATATATATACAAATCATATTGCAGTATAAATAATATTTAATGCCAAGACAGTTTGACAATTTGTCTTGAAACTGCTTTTCACCTGCAGACGGTGGTTCTGAATGCATGAAATAAACTATGAGAAATAATACAAAAAGTGGTCTGTTCATCAGGAGGAGTAGATGTTTTGATATACGCTATTCAATGAAGAGATGTTCATTATCATCATTGATTAAAGAATCTCTTTCATTACTATGTGTAAATATATATATATGTGTGTATTTATCTATCTATCTAATCTTTCAAAAACAATGGTGTTATATGAATCTCATCAAAGAACAATAATAGCAAAAATCAAAGGACCAGAGCCCTTTTTATAGTTAGTTTAATAATATCCTGATTGCAAAACAGACAATTTAAGTCAGTAACTTTCTTATTAAACTTACTTTGAGAGATTCAAAGTGCAGCAAATCATAAACCAATCTTCATTTTGTTTAAATTATTCAAAAGGAAATGAGACCTACTAGAGTGCTCCTGTCTTCTAAGTCTGCCATAAAGGCAATGAAAAAGCACTGTTTAGTTCAAAATGGCATTGAAACTGATTTACACTATCAAATAAAGTGTGCTTCACATTTATTGTTGCTTAGATATTAATGTATATCATGAACACACCTCAGTTTGTATCTGCATGGATACATTCCAGCCAAAGAGGCATTTCTGTAAAGCTGTTAGGAAAACATACCTGTTACCACATAAAAATACATGCAACACTGAATGCTTTACTTTAATGAATTTATTATGCTATGCCTATCCAAGGCTGTGAGGCAGAGCACAGTGATTTATAACTCTCAGAGCTGTAGCCCTGATAGGATGATGAAGGACCGTTTCTCCTCATTATGCCAGCAGAGCTTCTTTTCATCTCTTCTCTTATTCTCTGTTCATTGTTTGCCCTTGGCATCATCAGTCACCAGGCAGTACAGTTTACAAACATTGCTTTGGCTGGCAGAAAATAAATTATTCAGCCAATGACGTGAAATCTATCAAACTCCTACTAAGCTGCATCTTGAAACCCCTATTCAAGCTGATCGATAGTTTAGGTAACGTTTGTCTTTTAAGAGAGAGATTCTTCCCTTCTCACTTGTTACATTTCCTTTAATCTTTCAGCAGGCAAAGGCTGACCAACTTCCAAGAGCTGTAGAGACTAAATCATTTTTCTCTGAACATTTTTTGCTTTTGTTGCAAACCCCACATAGGCAACTTTATAGAAGTATAGTTGAGCAGTATTTGTCATCATGGGCAACCAAATATGAATAACAACCAACATGGAAAAAGTAGCTGAAATTCATTGTTGGAAAGAAAACATATAAACCAGAAAGGTGACAGGGGCAGGACTAAAACCAGAAACAAACGATCCATCATGTTTGTCTGCTTGGTAATATCCACATAAAATCATTTAAATTTTAAAGCCCTGTTTGTCTGAGTGGCTTGGTATTATCCACAAGCAAATCAGTTGGCTACAAATGACTGAAGCTGCTGAATGGGGAATTAGGTACTTGTATATTTTATCTAAAAAATTAAATAAATCTGGATTATAAATCTGAGCAAAAGCAGACACACTGGTATGGCTTTCCTTAAATAACCTGGCTATCTGACAGAGCTATCTTGACCATAATGTGACTATACACACACTAGAAGGGAGGAGTAAAGAAGAGGATTTGCAGACTATAAAGAGAGGTGGACTCTTTCAGTGCCACACATATGTGGATTTCAAACTGTTGGGACAAAGTCTTGAAAAATATCCAGTAACTATCATTATTGCCAAATATGGAATCACAGACTAAGAGTAACATAAAATTGTTTACTCTGCTATTCCACTACCTCTGTATCTTTATATGTGTTTGAATAATTTGAAGTAGCCATCATAAGATGATGAACCTGAAGTTACTGCTAGGTTTAACTCACCCACCAGTTAGGGCTGTTGAGAAGTTTCAGGCTTGCTGTTGATCCAGAAGAGATAGGGTACAGCCAACTCTACTCCAACTACATCAGCTCATCAGCTTTTCTGAAATGCATTAGCAATCAACAGTTTTAATCTGATCTTTCTGGTACAACAAACATTTGCAGAAGGAAAGACTTCACAGAAAATCTGACCCTCAGAACTGCAAAATTATAGATGAAAAATAAGTTTGCTGTAGAAAAACTTGGGAGTCCTGTAGTCTTTTTAAAGTAGCAAAGTAGGGAAGTGTGTTTTAGTCTTGATAAGTTTGATTAAGTGCCATATAATATCTCTCTTGTTCCTTTTTGTTTTAGTCATTGGGCTGTCAGAGCTCTAACAGATCTGGCTATCAAACTGTCTAAAGTATTTGTTTTAATGAATGATTTTGTGCTTTGGCAGCCTCTTCAGGCAGAGAAGTTGGTGGATTTTTGAATTACTGTTTGGATACATATGAAATTGGCTGCTGATGTCCATTCAATTTGCTTTTTACCTCTCTGTGAGCACAGCAATTTTTACTGAGATTTTTTTAATAATTTTTGAGGATATTATACAACTACGTTTTTGTTCTCTATATACTTCTGATCCTCTCCAAGATCAGCAAATCTGAAGATGACTTTCTTTCTGGAAATGGCACTGAGTCCAGGTTTCAGCCAAAACAGTGTTGACACTGAGTTCACCCCATTCATTCTGTTACATATCAGAGAAAGCTCCTAAAATCAAATTACACCGCAACTATTAAATTAGATGTAAATCTGCAGATTTGCATAATTTGTTGTCTGCAGTTTGTGAAAGCAAATGGCCAAAGTTTACAAAGAACTGATATTAATTTTTAATAAGAAAAAATCCACCAGCTAGAAATAATTCTAGCATTTGCTGTCAGTGGATACTTAATATTGAAATTTCCAAAATCTTTAAAACAGTTCTATGCACAATTAAGTTTGAATGACTCTTTCTTTATTTTAAATTGTGTGTTCTTTTTATAACAATATTTTAAAAGGGCTTTTCCCCCCCTTTGAGTACATGTCCCTCTTAACTGCTCATTTTCAACCTATAGGTTTGCAAAGAATATAATGGCCAGTCTCTTCGCGAACGAAGAACCGGGGAAGGTCTTTCCACCTTCCAGCCTGCGCATTGGATTTTTTAGGTGAGACACAGTGTGCTTGGAACTGAGCCCACCCTTTAATCCTGAGGTTCATCTGCCGGGGCCAAGCGAGCTTGGACAGTGGCAGCGAGGTCCTCAGGACGTAGATGGATTGCCTTACAGGGCTAGCGAGCTCCATCTGCCCGGGGAGTGTCCTAATCGGGAATCGAACCCAGATCTCAGCGTTGACAACGCTGTGGTTTAGCCACTGCACCACCAGGGACACTCACCTCTATGAACTTCTGATATGTACAGTATGCTGTACATACCAGAAGTTATGCTGGAGAGTTTACTTTATTTGTCTTAGATTATTTGGCTTGGATATTTTTCACAGACAGCTCTAACTCTAAGGACATTACTTATTTTTTCAGGGCTTTTCCTGTTTTCTTTTTTGATAGTAGGCAGAGGTGGCGGTCCTGAAGAAGACACAGAGGCACACAGCCATCAGATAGGTGTCCCTGAACACTCTTTTGACTGTTTATCACGGGACACCTTGCTGTGGCCAGCATTCATTGTGACTTTTGGTGGAGCAGCTGTTGTGTTGTTGGCTTCCATTGAATTGAAGGTAGAGTCAGAGCCAACATCTTACTTTTGAAGGGTGATTTTTTGTAGGTTCCTTTGTCAAATTAATGAGCTTCTGTGCTAAGGGACCTCTTAAAAGTAATCCATATTTCACTGGACACACTTATGACCTCATTTAGTTCTTGTAGAGGTATGAAGGAAGACCTTTTTTCTCTTTATATGGGTAAAGATCAGGTGGGGAAAAAAGATTAACTTTAGGATCTGAGTTACTAAATTCTAATTCTCAGAAGCATACTAAGTCCTTTACAAATAAATATCTGCAGTCTCACTTCTCCAAGTTTTTATCCTGCTTGAGATATAAGAAAGATATTTAAATCTAAAGAGATTGTAACATCATGATGTTGAATTGCCATGTTTCAGTCATATCCTTCCCAGTGAATATTAAATGCCACTCTTAATTTAAACATGGAAGTCTAATTTGGCAGCAGTCTACATGGTGGTAGTGGTTGTAGAGGTTGCAAAATCATCTGTAATTTTTCAGGGGACCACATTTTAGTCTGCTGTGGGCATGGAAACAGCTGAAACTTCTTTGTATTCTGTATAAGATAGTATTTCTTGCCTTACTGTTCATAATCTGTTTTTCATGCAACATATATCTGTATCTGCAGTGAAAAATCTATATTAAAACTTCAAATATAACTTTCTGGCTAAAGTTACATAAAATATCCTTCCCCACTCTTACTTCTAACACTTACTAAATGCATAAATTTTAGCAATATTGAAAATATTACATGTAATAGGATGTAACTACTGTTAATAAGCATACAGAGCTTCAGAAAGGAATCCTAGACCACTAGAAAAGCCTCCAGTCACCTCAGTGAGTTCACTTGCAATATGAGAATGGGTAAGAAACTTTTAATTAATTTCAGACACTAGGCAGAACTGCCCAAGGAAGTAGTAACTGTGTATGTAGAATCATATGTATAGCTGTTTTCCTCTAATGATACTATTTCTAAATAATATGGTTAATAATTTACCACCAAATATACACTTTTTGTCCATCTTATGCCAGAAATCCTCTTTTAAACTTGGATTTAGAGTTTCCTGAGTACATCTACATGTACAGCATCAGGGTGTGGAGCTTTTTTTACCTACTGCACCTTTTAACAGATTTCTAATATTAATTTTTCTAATAATGATTAATTTCTATTCACCACTAGAATCACTGTTAGAATCAGGGACTCCTTGCATGTGTTGAACCTTCCAACATGACATTAGAAACAGTAGTTTCGAATCCACTCAAGCTTTGGAAGTTTCTCCCTTTTTTATTTCTTTCTCATATGAAAGAGGTACCTCTGAAAGACTTATGCTTTCGAGAAAATTAGTATTCTTCACATCTTCCTATCACTTTCTGAAAACCATTCAGCTCTTCCTCTTAGGAAGCCACTGTAGACTATTTATTATAGCTGATTATTAAATAAAATATTCAACAACATGAAAGGGCCATCATTGTGCTTTTATGATGATTGTGTCTCTTTATGAGCATCTCCATATGGTCTATTGTATTTCTGGCTAGGTTAGGCTGTGCTGAAATGCCTTCTGTGTTTTTCATTTGCCTACTTGAGTCGAGGTGCTTTTATTCTACTTCTAGTCTTCTATCACCAGTCTGCTTTCATGCCATGATGAAGGACAGCAATAAATCCAAGTTCATAACCATAATATGTATATCAAGTAACAGGTAGACAACCAAAAGGTATAGAAAAGGCCAGGTGAAGAGAGGTGAAAGCTCCTTAGCGTTAGCCTGCCCATCAGCAAACTCTCAGTCTGCTCTTATCTCACTTGTCCCTGAATGTGATATCCTGTTTGAGAGATACAGTTGTAAAATTAGTTGAGTTTCTATTTTTTAAATCAACATAGATAAAAAATTAGAAGACTGTGAAAGAAAACCTGTAAAGTTCCTTCACAAAAAAAAAAAAAAAAAAAAAAAAGGTGCTTTATCTATTTATCAGAATAAGCCCTTCTATTCCAGCTTTTTTAGCAAAGGTGTATTTTTATGTGTGAGAAGATAAATATTTCAATATAAATAATATCAACAGTTTTCTTTGGCTCTGCTTTAATCTCTTCCCTTTAAGGGTTTGAACATTCAGCAAGTATTTTTTTGTTTTTTGTTAGACCTCATTTCCGAAGTCAATAGGAAACATTTCGTAAAAACACATTTCGTGTTGTAAATTTTATATTATTTACATACTATATTATGTTGGGAAAAAAGATAATTTAATGGCAATAATAATTCATATCATAAATATCATATGGGCCATTCATTTAAGGGTTGGACTTGATGATCTTTATGGATCCCTTCAAACTTAGAATACTCCGTGACACAGCCCAAAACTGAACTCATCTCTGTAATTAAAGTAAAATAAAAAATCAAAATAAAGGCAGTTTCAAATATAACTGATACACCTCAGGATGTATCTTTTCACTATCTTTCCCAAGCAAGGAAATTAATAGGATGTCATCATTCCAGTGATATTTGCCTGTCTTTCACCTGAGTGCTTGGCCATTTCCTTGCTAACTGTTGTCATATCCCTGTGGCAGCTGGGGTCACACAGATGGAGAACAGCCCTACCAGACCTGTGCGGACTGTTAACACAAAGTAGGCTTTTTCTGTGGAAAAACTGACACTCGCTCTGTAGTGAATTTTCTTTACCCTTCACTTTTAAATTGAGCTGTCAGCAGGCACTATACTTAACAAGTCTGCTTTATATGCTATTCATTAGATGTCTGCTAATAAGTGACTGACAAGGCAAATCTGAAAGATTTCATCAGTAATCTGTCAAAATGCAGCATGATTAACTCTCAAAACTTAGAAGTTACTGTCATGAGGGTTGTCAGTTTGAGTTCATTTGTTTGCTTCACTTGGTTTGGCTGGCAAAACCTATCTTTGTTTAAAATCATGCCCCTGGGACTATCTGCCTGGTTCGTTTTGTCTTCAGAATGGCTTTCTACTCAGTGCTGGAATCATGCACTTCACACTGAATTGGTATTGGAGAAGATAGACAAGTCTTCTGGAAAAGCCACTGTTTTCCCACTTTATTATGGTACCCTCTCCTAGTCTGCACAAGTAGTGCAGTGTATGATTTATCCTTTAGTTTATACCACACACACAGATCCATTTCAGAAGCTAGAGAAGGCTTAGGTAATGACACGAGATTGGCTTCTGGTTTCCAAGCTTATTGGAATCCTAAGATTTTTACACTGATTCAAGTAGCTTTGAATCAAGTCTTTGACCGTGGTGTTTTGTGAATGTGGTTTTTTCAGTTTAAGATGTTCTGATCTATGAGGTAGAAATTGTGATAATTGATATGCACTACAGAGAGATCCAAAACTTATGCTGTGACATCTCCTTTTTCAAAGAGTGTTTAAATGAACTGTTCTGGACAGAGCCACATGTAAAGTCCAAGCAGAAGCCAGAGAGCAAACCAACAGTTGGGCAGTAGGGTTGATTTTGATTCTAGTAGGCAAGATCATTCCCTAATTTTCCTTTACTATGGGAGTATCTGTTAACCATATAGCCATATCTACCATAGCATCGGTGTATTGATACCCTGTATTGCCAAAGTATGGATATAGCTTGTACAATCAATGCTGTACTTAATCTGCTCTTGGATGGAACAAGGAGGCCAAAATGGAATTAAATACTGATGCACTTCCAATTCTGCCTTTGGCTGACAAAAATACACCAGTGGGAGACTAAGTCCAAAGTATTAAGTGACCAGCAAGAGCACTTAAAATCCTTTTAAACCAATTAAGACACAATAATCTTGTTTGTTAGGCTTAGTGGATTCTGTTCCATAGTATGTACTGATTCTTCTGGCAGAGATTCTGCGGGTGGAAGAAAAAAGAGAAGGTCCTATATGTGTTTCAGTAGCTATAGGTGTAGCTGATTATGTCACATCGACTTAGATTTTTCAACACATACTTTCCCTAAGGTGTTTAGATCTGTGGAGAGAATATGCAGATTTCCAGATTTCTGTTAAATTGCTGCTATATAGAACTAGCTTCTGAAGCTATTATTTATTCTATTAAAAGTTTGTTTATTTCTGAAAGAGCTTTACAAGAAGTTTTGGTGACAGTTGGAATTTATGGATATGTTCTAGCACCATTGTTTGATCATAGTTCCTCTTGTAAGATGTCTGGCCTGGATTAAGCCTACCTGGCTGCAAGTAGTTCTGCATTTATTTGGGATTCCTTCTGTAATCATTTAACTCCTGGGCTATCACATGGAATTACTTATCTTTCCCTAACAGCTTAGAAGGAATTAAAGATGACAAAGCTCCTAATTTAGCCCCTGAAGATAGGAGACTGAAAAGCAAGTTGAGCCCACGTGAGGACAGCTTGGAATATGGTGGTAGGAAGACAGATTTGTAATTTCAGAGAGGGTGCATTTCACTCTCATTTAGTCCAGAAAGGATTTGGCTCAGTTGAAAGTGCTATTGTATAAGAATTGTTCACATGGAAACTTACTAGGAAATACAAAATAATTCCTTTTTTTTTCCCCAGAAAGTCTGCAGCGTTAGGAAGGAGGCAACTTAGAGGTCAAATGTCAAACAATGTAGCCTTGTCTTTCTCAGGATTTTGATGTAACACAAGTGACATATTTAATGAGTTAAATTGCTGTGTTACGCCAAAATTATGCAGAAGCTTAATTTATTTTTCAGGTGATATAGATAAATATTTGCCTTTTATTTTCAGGTTTCCAAGTGAATTGGTTGAGCACATTGGCTCTGGTTCAACAAAGGGTTGATTGTTCTGGGCTTTTTTTAAACTTTGTAGAATCATAGAATGGTTTGGATCAGAAGGGACCATAAAGACCATCTAGCTCCAGCCCTACTGTCATGGACATCCACTAGATCAGACTCCTCAGAGTCTAGCCTTGAACACTTCCTGGGAGGGAGGCATCCGCAACTTCTCTGGCCAACCTTTTCCAGTGCCTCACCACCCTCATAGTAAAGAATCTATTCCTAATGTCTAATCTAAATC